GGGGGCATTTTAGTAAGCGTTTCACAGCACTTGCAACACATTAAGGTCACATAGGTGCCGGAAAATAGAGGTGTTACAAGAGGGATGAGAGATCAGGACGATAGATGTTTGATAGGAAAGAAGGAGCAAACCACACCAGAGCACCTGCCAACCACCCACAAGGTATGATTGTACAATCTCACCTATAGAAAACGTAGCACACAATCATACAATCTCAACTGTGTAGAATGTAGCACACAATTATACAATCTCACCTGTGTAGAATGTAGCACACAATCATACAATCTCACCTGTGTAGAATGTAGCACACAATCATACAATCTCATCTGTGCCGAACGTAGCCCACAATCATACAATCTCACCTTTGCAGAACGTAGCGCACGATCCTCCCACACACCAGCCTGCGATCAGCCTGCAGCGAGGAGCGTGACCACAAGACAGCCTCATGAATCGTGCCGTCCTTGAACCGACGCATTTCCGACTTGTCTCCCCACATCTCACGGAATGCCAACGCCTTAAGAGGGGGGGGGAGAATAAGATGTCAGGATTTGTTTGTATTCACAATTCCGAGATACCTCCTCAATTAACCCTATCCGTACGCCGTGTTTTACTATCGTATCCATACGACGTGGGGAACTCTGTGCCATCACTTTCCAAAAAGAGGAAATTTACTCATTAATCCGATCCGTACACTTTGCATAGCAGTCTGTCAAATTGATTTTTTGAGAAATACTGAAAGTTTCAACGAGATCTTTGTACTAGAAGTATTCTAAAATGTGAAGAATACAACCCCGGGGCTACAAAATGACCCCAGGACGAACGGATAGGGTTAAGATATTTTGTTGATTCTGTTCCTACTATGGAGAATCTATTGTTGGGTGAGTTCACGTCTGTCGAGTACCCAGTCTCGCACGGATGACCCACACACACACGACAGTACCCAGTCTCGCACGGATGACCCGCACACACACGACAGTACCCAGTCTCGCACGGATGACCCGCACACACGTAACAGTTCCCTGTCTCGCATGGATGACCCACACACACACACACGACAGTTCCCTGTATCGCACGGATGACCCGCACACACACGTCAGTACCCTGTCTCACACGGATGACCCACACACATACGTCAGACGTCGCCAACCACACACCCTTTAGTGCTAGATCAAAATAGTCTTTCAATACACACACACACACACACACACACACACAAAGTCACACATACACACACAATCACACACATAATACACAGACACACACACATAATACACACACACACACACACAGTCACACACACACACACACATTCACGATAGTGACCCTTAGGGTCAAGGAACGCTCACCTCCGGGTGGTCGGCGGGTGGGCCTTTGTTCAACACGCTGAATGCGGCAGACGTGTTCAGGCACAGACCAAAGGTCAGGTAACTCTGTTCGTCGTAGTCCAGGGGCGCGTCATTTACCGACCACTGCACCGCAGAAATAGCAAGAGAATCACAGAAAAATTTAGTTAGACAGACAGTAAAAACAACAGAATCACAGACATATTTAGACAGACAACAACAACAACAACAACAACAGAATCACAGACATATTTAGACAGACAACAACAACAACAACAACAACAGAATCACAGACATATTTAGACAGACAACAACAACAACAGAGAGGGAGAGAAAGAGAGACAGAGAGAGAGACAGAGAGAGACACAGAGAGAAGAGAGAGAGAGAGAGAGAGAGAGAGAGAGAGACAGACAGACAGACAGACAGACAGACAGACAGACACAGAGGGAGAGACACAGAGAGAGAGAGAGA